ACCACAGTAAGTTTGAGGGGAGGAAGTTGTTTGAACACATACCCTCCCTCCCGATAACTCATGTTGTTGAAAATATACCACGGTAACTCATGTGTAAATAGCATGATAATAGACACTCGTCAGACCTGATAACTTAGCCCTACCGTAACTATTTGCATGAAAAAAAATCATCAGAATATATCAACATAAAATCTAGTTTCGAAGGTCTCGTCGCGATGTATTTTTTATGTGATAACGATTTTTCTATCGGACCAACGGTTTTGAGATGTAAAACATTTTGAAGTTTCAAAAAGGGGGGGGGGGACTAGGATGACATAAAATTTTTTCTCTCTAATGCATGCATGCATGTGCTTGTGAAGAGAATGTTGGAGGAACTTTTTTATGTCTCGGTAATTTCTATGTAAACAACATGATAACTTATGCACCACAGGCATGATAACTTATGTAGCACACGTGGTAACTTTTACCCCCAAAAAAGTTGTCGGAATGTATCAACATGGGATCTAGTTTTGAAGATCTCGTCGTTACGAATCTTTTATGTGAAAACATTTTTTCAATCGGAGCGACGGTTTAAGCTACAAAATATTTTGAATTTTATTTTTAGATGAAATCTTTGGTGACGTTAACTTTTTTATTTTTCTGCATGCAACTATTGTCCAACAGGGAGAGAGTCTACATGCATGCACCGAGGGGGAGTTTGCATGCAGTATGCATACGTAATTAGAGGAGAGGGAGATCGTCTTGATCTATTGCTTAACTTCCGAACAATAGGAAGTTAGCAAAGTCCTAAAAATAAAGGATAGAACTGAAAAGTGTTCACGAATTTGTAAATACTCCTCGAATTTAAAATGTTACAAATTTGGAAAAAGTTCATTAATTTGAGAAAAGTTCGCGGATTGGAAAACGCTCACGGATTTGAAAGAAGTTCACGAAATTGAGAAATTTTTGCGAGTTTGAAAAAAATTCACAAGATTGAACAAGTTCGCGGATATGAAAAAAGGTTGCTGATTT